CTAATTTCAATTGCACTTTTTAGATTATTTGTTTCTAAATATACACATACATATCCCTAGATGTCGCTCCAGACAAGAAAAATATACTATCAAAATTTAAGAATATGTCTAGCATTGCACGTCATATTACAATATCTTACGACACGCCCCCAGTGGCACTGCGGCATGTCTGCGGACTTAAAACGCTAGAAACCGGGTTTCGTTACCCCTGGTGGGCAGAACACAGATAGCCCATCAGGTAGCTTTGTACTTAATTTCAAATAAACAAACAAAATCTTACAACATGGATTTGTCCTCAATAGTTACTTTTAGATCAAATGAACAATAACACTGATCTGTCAGCCGCGAGTATTAAAACAGTAAAATGCCTGAATCGGAAACCTGGAAAAAAAATGGAGAGGATATATCACTTAACACCATCATCTCCGACAGACTATTGACACTGCAGCTTAAGGATATTCCAATATATCGGCATCAGTTGATATTAAAAAAATGTTAGCCAGTATTAAGCTGATAACTCTTCATCGTATCCTCATTATTTGCGAGTTCAGAGGACGTTTGAAAAAAATACAAAAATTTTCTTTTTAAAAGAAAATACTTTTGGTCATCAATAAAACCTTCAAAGTTTTGGTATCAACTTGGAGGGTTACCTTTGAGGTGAAATTTCAAATTTGAGGTTTTCTGAGTTTTCTATTCTTGTCCTAGATATTTGTTTCCCACTTAACCTTAGTGGAATCCATAAATATAACCTCAAAATAACACCACAGTTTTTTTTTTCGATCACTAGTGTTGTGATAGATATTATATTTAATTTTACCTGAAAAACAAAGTGAGGGAAAAACTGTAGACCTTGTAGCATACCGATTAAACATTCACTGATGTAGATGATACATCACCTCTAAATACAAGTGTATTTCACCACAAGAAACACCATATAGTCCAACTGACTGTTCACCATTATATGTACTACTAAACAAACTAGCTATACTGATTACTAATACGCTACACTACTGTTTCGCTTCATTGATTGCCTTTATGTATACAATAGGCTTACCTCAGAAATGTCAAAAATTTTTTACTAGTAAACAATGTATAGGTTACTTCCAGAAATTTCCACACAGTTCACAATGCAACATAAATATACAGAAATTTCTTTTTCTCTGTATGTACCGTACACTGTTCAGAATCTTCTAGAACATTTCATACAAGTCAATTCACAAAACTGAATAAATATATTTTGTTTGTTGTTACGTGCAATGATACACAATGAGCTATCTGTGCTGTAGCCACCGCGGGTATCGAAGCCTGCTTTGTAGCCCTCAGACTTACCCCCCCCCGAGCTATCGGAGGGGGGGGGCAAACTAGTCTAAATAAGTTGAGTTTGATTTAACTTAACACGCCTATTTTTGTTTTTAAAGAAGGGAGGGAGAAAAAATATCCGGAGACAAATATTTTTGTCTGTGTTACCCCCTCTTTATAACTATTTTGTATGAAAAAATTCTATACGTGCAACAACACTTCTGATGTTCATACATGTATTTTTAACTACCGTTTGTCAGTGCATGCGTGATCGATTTCTTGCTATTTATTTTGTGATTCTATTAGATAAATTAACCTCTGGCCACAGCATATAACATCCTTGAAACAGTTTCGGTGAAAAAAAAATCGAGTGTTTTTGTTAAACACATACCATTTCAGTACGAGGTTTTGGAAAGAGCTGTTTCCTCAAAGTAAAAAGACTTGTTTACCAATATGCCACCTCCTTGACAACACATTATAGCTGAATAATTTTCCCGTGATTAAATTTGTACTACATAAAAGTTGTTAATATTTGTATACCTTCCCAATCATAAATGTTTGTTTAAAATATAACTTTTAAATGTTTTATTGTTAATGAATAATCTCCAGAGTGGTAAGAAGTGTTCTCTCAAATTTAGTGCAATCGTTGGATAGATACAGTTTAGGAAAGAGGGTAGTTAATTAACTCGCATAGTTCCACCAATAGAAAATGATTACACAGATAAGTATGTTTACTGGAATTTGCATTATTCGCTCTATTTTTAACTAGGGATGCTAAAAATTTTCACAATCATGTACCTATTTCCAAAATTATCATCCTGCTAAAGACCTATTAGTACAATTAAGTTTTACCAAGCTACAGTAGTACAACATCTCTTATCTAAATTCTAGGAGACAGTTTGAGAACCCAATTCCATATGACTATCTACTTTTAACATTATGTAATGTATCCAAAGTTTGATTCATAAATCCTATCACTCATGGTTAAATTATCCATAAAGCCCACCACTTTTTTTGTTAACTTTTTCTTTCAGTTTTGGAGCATATTTAAATTTTTTAATTCTGTTTTCTCACTGTTATCATATTTTACTGATCTTTTTTCCTTTATCACCCCCTTCATCCATTGGCCAAAGTCCAAGAGTAAAATTATAATAAATAATAAAAAGTTTTTCATTTACTCAGTTGATAGGCCTTTCAAAATATTCGTCGGGTATTTTAATACAAACCTTGCTCTTAAGGAAATGCACATCCTATAAAACAGGAGTTCAAACTTTTTTTGCTGCACCCTCTCCAAAAATATTTTAGGCTGTGATAATCCTTCCCTGCAATGTGATAGCAAATCACTTTCATACTCTGAAATATCCCTCATCATAATGTCTTTTTTTTGTTGTTTGTTTTGTGATCTTGAGACCCTCCAAAAATAACCTTGAAACCCCCAATTTGAGAAATGTTTCTATAAAATAATAAAGACCTCTTTACTGGTTTTGTAGTTAAACACAAAGCTACACAATGGGCTATCTGTGCTCTGCCCACCACAGGTATTGAAACCCAATTTCTAGCATTGTAAGTGCACAAACATACTGCCTTGCCACTGGGGCAATAAAGACCTAGCAAGTATTAAAGTCCTACAAATCATAAAAACAGCAACTTTACACACATTGCAGAACATCATTACACCTACGAGATTGACTAGGGGGTAAATGGTTAACACATTGTAGAACATCATCACGTTTAAGTTTTATTAGGGGCAAACAGTTATTTGTTGTACATAAATTTTTAAATTATATATTTTGTTTCAAAATGTTATTACTTTTTATAGTACACTTTTTCTGGTGTAAAACTGTATTTAATCACTAATCTGTTCAGTAGAGAGAAATTTTCAACTGAATCAAATTCTTTATTTTGTGAAAAAACTTTTCTTTCATCCTCTGTAAGATAACATCTAGCTTAGTAGTGTAGTAATGACATCAGAAGTTTACTTTAGGCATGTAAATTAATTCTAAAACAAATTACCCCTTTTTTTTTTCGTTAAATGTTGTGATAGTACACCTCTGACACTTAAAAGTACATGTTACTAGTATAAGAATACTAAATAAAAGCATAAGACTATTAAGTAAATGTGTCAAAAAGAAAGATATTAAGTTCTCTCAAAATATAGCTTACTTAATTATAGTATTTTGGAACTTGCGTATAAAATTAAAATCATAAATAATATTCAACGTTAAACTGGTACACAATTAAATACATTTTATTTAGACCTATCTATGGCCTTCAAAAAGTTGACGACTCTACATGTTTCGACGTTACAACGTCAACTTTTGAAGGCCATAGATAGGCCTAAATAAATGTTTTAATTGTGTACCAGTTTAATGTTGAATATTATTTATGATTTTATAGCTTACTTGTTGAATTTTCATAAAACTACTTGAGGGCTATCTATGCTAACCATTCCTAATTTTGAAGTGATAGAATTAAAGGAAGCAGCTAATCAACAGTATCTATCATTAATTTAATAGAAGTATTTGAGTGTCACACTTACTATATATATAAAAAAGTATGAAGTTATTTTTTGCCAATAACAAGAAGAATCAAGGAATCTCCAATCCACAGTCAGGCACATTACTCACTAGGATGTGTTTGACCTTGGTCCACTAAAAAATATTTAAGGCTCAAGTAGATTTTTGGAATTATAATTTGTTTCAATGGTGTCCAATTTTTTCTGAGTCCAATTTATCAAAATAATGATGATTCTTCACGTGAATCCATTTGATTTTCATTGTATAAAACAAGAGAGCACATGAGAATGCATACTGTAGCACAAAATAGTCAAAATACTAGTAACATTTCAGTTTCTACACAAACTTCTAATCAGAATCTTCTTTGGCTTGAAGTTATCCACATTTGAATAATGTGATGTTTAAACAATACCAGACAGTATAAAAATGGCAAGAACAGTACATATCATCATGAACTTACCTAAACAAAATCTCTGCCATATCACCTTAAGGGTTGTGTTTAGTTTGCTCTCAAGGTTATGGCACTTAGAAATGTATGCAAACAAGTGTGAATATCTTATACTTGCTTGTTAGAAGTTTATAACACACTGAAATAATTGCAACTTCATATTTCAGAATGTTAAACTGAAATCCTTTTCAATCTCTAACACAAAATGTTACTTATACAGTAATATTAAATTTATTCAAACTGTTCTATTAAGGTACATATTACCACCTGCTATGCTAATTACGACTTATGTGCAAGCTGTTTTATCATCAATTGCAATTTAAATCAATTTACATTAATCTATGTATCTTAGGTGTATACAATATCAAAACCAGTACAGGTGAGAACAAGCTGTGAAAAAAAAAAAAAAAATCTAATTACTGAATGTCTGAACATGTAAATATTTTTCACCATCATTAAATAGTAGTGTATCTTGTAATTTGAATACTTTTGAGCTTAAAAGAGTAATATTATACTGGTCATTTGTTATTCTAGTTTAGAAAATGAATAAAAAGTAACACTTAAACAGACTGCGAAATAAAGTGAATTCAAAAAGTATATATCTGAAACAATACTAAACCTAATGTTAGGGAGCCTCTGCTAAATGTTCAATTAACAATTTTTTTAATAATACATTTTGATGCCTGACATTGAGTGTAACTTTTTCTTGAGAAATAAATACATGCAATGGACTCAAATTAGCTTCTCATGTACTTTATTTACTTGCACCATATACAATATCTGATGCAAGTCTAGTCTTCCTTGGCTGTATCCTTCTTTGTACCACGAATACGACCAGTACGTCTAGCAGCAATCAAACCAACCTGTTAAAAAATGTTTAAAGATCAGAAACTAGTAATATAAAGTAATTAAAATGTTATGAAGATATTTGTGTATAATGAAAACTAATGCTATATACTTCTTAGTAGTAACAGCAGCCCATAATAAAAACCAAGGTGTTAATAAGACCAAGGGTTTCATATGCTATAGGATAATGTTATCTTAAACAGCATGTAATGTAAACACAAAGATCTGTAACTTAAATCAGTGGTTTCCAACCTTTTTGCACTCCATGGACCACCAAAAGCTTTGTGAAAATCTTAACAGCTGTTAGGAGTATATACACCTATAGGCTATACTACCAGGTTATAAATAATTATACACAAGAATATAAAAACAAATTTGAAAGAATGTAGAAATATAATAATTTTAACATCTTTTCTTAACAAGACTTTTTTCCCCCTTCTCTTGCTTTCATGGGATGTTTATGTGGACCATCAGTTGAAAAACATTTTCTATAATCCTGTCTTTCACTGGAATAAATTGGCAGCAGTCATATTGTAACTTACAAAATTTCGAGTTTCTCTAAATATCATATTTTATGCAACTATATTTGGTAGGTGTGTGTATCCTAGTTTATTAGTTAAGTATCTATGTATTTTAATATTAAAATACCTAAAGCTTTTCTAAACGTATCTGTTTTTCATGATATAAAAGACTGTTTAGTTTAGATATTATTGAATAATTTATTTTTTGTTAATGAATAACATATTATTGTTTAGTTTTGTTATAATAAGTTAAAAGTAGACAGATAATAGCAGAAAAAAGTAAAGTTATAAAAGGAAAGATTCGGCGTTAAGTTAATTACCGTAGAAGTGACAGGCCTAACGTTTAATATGTTAGAGTAAGTTTAACAGTAGAAACAGAGATAAGAAAAATAATTTGTTCCATCAAAACGTGGTTCTAAGGTAACTGAATCAACCTGAGTGCACTTTGACAAAAGGAACAGAGGATCTGTAGAAGAAAGATAACCAAACAATTATGGTAACTCCTGCCGCAATTGAAAGTGAATAACAAACAGAATACTAGTGCAATAGTAATAGAGAAGTCAGTTCAGCTTGTCAACTGAAATTCTAAAGTAATTGAATATACCTAAATGGACTTTTGACAAAAAGGAGAGAACTATATATATAGTGTTTATGATATGGCTATAATCTCAATAGTGTTGAAGAATTTGTTGTACATACGTTTAACTTGTTCCGAATATATATAGCAAGTTTAAGAGGATTAGAGCTGACCTGACAAAAACACTAAAAACAGACGTTAATAAATTGATCGCCACTGTCAACAAACAAGCAAAAGAAAAGGTTCTCCAATCTATCATAGGAGACTATGCGCCTGGATATATCTACGGAACCTTAAAACTTATACACAGAACAGCCCTCTACGGCCAATCATATCACATATTCCTACCCCTATATACAAGACTGCCAAAGACCTAAACCACATCATCACTCCATATATGCCTGCCCAACACATGCTAACATCTACAAACGACTTCCTCCACTTACTACATGCCACAAATCCACAGGGACTACTCGCCTCCTTGGACGTCGAATCATTATTTACCAATGTACCAGTCCAGGATACGAGACATAATCTGCGACAACGTTTACAGACACCCGACCATGTCTCCACCCAAAATACCCGAAGAAATAATGCGTGAACTTCTACTCGCCTGTACTACGAAGTCACCTTTTCAACAGATCAATGGTTCGCTATACCAGCAAGTCGACGGAGTTGCCATGGGCTCTCCTCTTGGAGTAACCTTCGCCAATTTTTACATGTGTCACATAGAAAACAAAGTGCTGCAGGACGACTGCTTCATCGTTACCAAGGACACTGATGAATTAACGAAGCTCCGACAAAACCTACAGGACAACTCTGTGCTTAAATTCACCCACGAAATAGCCACTGACAAAACCATCAATTTTCTGGATGTACATATCGACGCCAACAACAGCACTAGCCAGGGAATCTACCTCAACGCTTAAAGTGAATGCCCTCAAAGATACAAAACTGGAACCATCCACGCCCTCATCCACCGTACCTACAAAATATCCTCAGATTGGAATCTATTTCACAACAGAATTCGTACACTCCGACAAATATTCATCAATAATGGATATAGTAATACCACATTCGACGAGACACTCCAACGATACCTGGACAGCCGCAAAAAAAAAACACCACTACCGACAACTCCACTGAACAACTCAAAGTCTAC